GAGTTCCTCAGCCAGCTTTGCTTTGCTGGCTGAGGAACTCTGGGAGTTGAAGTCCACAAGTCTTAAAGTTGCCAAGGTTGGAGACCACTGTTCTAAGGTATCTCAGGTGTTGGCATGTCTCCTGTACGATATTTCAGTGTACTCCTTTAAATCAGTTATTGTCTGTTCACTGGAATACTTTAGCATAACAGTTTGATATGAATCCTCCTTTCGAGTTCAGTGATGTTTTGAAATCTTATTTTTCCATCTTCTGTATCTTCATAGAAGCTGTTGTTATACTATTTTTTGTCTCTTCTAACAGGTCTCTGAATTTTTTGTTTAATTCCTTTCTGAGATTCTTGTTTTTCTTGTCTTCTCTTTTTGTTTCTTGTCAATTTCTGCAGTTTGTTCTGACCTTTTGTTTGCTTTCTTCTTATTGTTTTTCATTTTTGACCTTCATTCTTTACAACTTCTTTAAGTTCATTCCATAATTCCTGATTCTTTTCTCTTTGAAAATGGTGATTTTATAGGTGATAATCTTGAATGACAGCCAGAAAGAAAATGGAAGGCAGTGGGTCTCACATAGCAATGACATAATGTGGGAGAACTCTGGGGTGCCAAGAATTTTGTGTTCCGCTGCACTCTGGACCAGTTGTAATTTCCAAATGAAAGGCTATAAGTCAGATTTCTCTCTTTTCTTAGGCAGAACTCATAAGTTCCAGATTAAATAAAGAGCAGAAATAAAAGCAACATAGAGGTAATTTTTATTAATAAAGGTGGAAATTAATTTTAAGTAGCGCAATAAGCAAACATAATAAGGAATTAATGGATGAAGCCATTCTCAACCTTTCAAAATTCTAGATGTCTCATCCAGCCCCCTCCAAAACCATCAAAATCTTATATTTCCACAAAACTACTGGTATTTTCTGAGATTTATTTTAAGAATACAGATATTTTGCAATCCTTTGAAATCTCATTAATGGACAATTGATTTGTTTATATTTATATTTAGGTCAGTTTACAATCTCTATAATAGGAAAAAACACAAAACAATGATGGAATAAACAACAACACTTCTAAAACAAAATGAATATAGGAGAGGCTAAAATAAGCCATTGTATCTCAAGACTGGATCACACAAACTGGACTATTTTGAGCAGCATATTGTATAAATAAAATGGGTTTGAAGATAGGGCTGTAAGTCCATATTTAGATATAAAAGGTGTTGTAACTGGAGATATTGCCATTTAGTGTTTTATTTATTTATTAATCAGATCTACACTGTCTATGGAGATTCTTAATCATCCAGAACATGGGTATTCCAAAGGTTTTTTCCCTCAAAAGGCAAATGGATTTTTTTGGTATTTTCTTTGAAAATGTTTAGTTTCTGATCCAAGAACCCTTTGGGAGATCTACACGGAGGTCCTCAAACACAAAAATCCACCATCAGATCTAGACTGAATATAATACATTCTATGTTCTTAGCAAAAATACCTTGTATTTTCAGATTCCAATCTTCACAAATGTTATTATAATATAATGGTAAGAATTAAAATGGACTTGTTTGCCCCTATATATCATATTCCTCTGTGTATGGGACAAGACGTTTTCCTAGTTGGACTCTGGCTTGTTAGATGACATTGAGTCAGACTTGACTTCTATTGACTTCATAGAGAAATACTTACCATATTGATCTGACCTTAGAAATAACTTTTAATTCTTCTAATTGACAAACATATACTTTCTTTGATTCCACCAGATTCCACTGTTTTTTTTTACTTCTGATAACTTTGCCAAGCATAGTAGTTTTTCTGTTTCATCATCCATTTTCATCACACGCCCAAAATATAAGGGCTACTCTTGTTGATCGAGGAAGTAGGCAAATTTTATTTTGTCCAGGACTGACTTTTCCAGTCTCTAATTTATGAATGGTATGAAATGAATATACAGTATATGGCTAAATTTCATATCACTTTATAGTATTCTACTTTGAACATAAGTTTATATCATATGGAAGTAAGCAAAAGCTTAAAGCAATGCATTTCTTTTGCTGAGTAAAAATACTCACAAGCTACTTGAACAATCAATCCAGAACTCTCCACAGGCACAAATGAACAGGTTCAAATTATATTTGTACAGACACATTGCATGAAGATGTAGCTTTCCATAAAAGCCTCCAAAGATAAAAAGAAAGACAAGGAAAGTATGGACAGCAGCAAGAAAGGTTGACTCAGTTATAGTGATGAAGTCATTGTTGGAAGACATGAAAGAGCAGATTAGGGACAGATCATCATGGAGAAAAACTATCTAAGCAGTTGCTAACAATTAACAATTACTTGATGGTACATAATAAATCAAGAACAGAATCCATTATAGTACATGCCTATTTATTTTGTGTGGAACTTTTTGCCTATAGTCAATTTCCTCATTGCTTCTTTTACATCCTGGTTCCTCAAGCTATAGATCAAAGGGTTCAACATGGGGATCACCACAGTGTAGAACATGGAGATAATTTTGTCCTCATCTACCGTTGAGAAGGAGCTGGGTCTCACGTAGGTGAAGAAGAGGGTTCCATAAAAGATAGATACTGTTGTGAGATGGGTTGAACAGGTCGAAAAAGCTTTGCGCCTGCCCTCATTGGAGCGGATTCTCAGGATGGCTAGAACAATGTAGGTATAAGAAACAACAATAATAGAAGTGCTTACAATACCAAGGGTGCAAGATAGACCAAAAAGCACTCCCTTGTTGAGTTGAGTATCTGAACAGGATAAGGATATGACTGCAGGGATATCACAGAAGAAATGGTTAATTATATTGTCATGACAGAAGGTCAGCTGAAAAGATAAAGTTGTATGTGTGGCAGCATTCAGCATTCCTACAAGGTAAGGAATGATTGCCAACCTGGTGCACAATCTCTGTGACATGATGACTGTGTACAAAAGTGGATTGGAAATGGCCTTATATCGATCATATGCCATTACAGCCAAGAGGAAACATTCAGTGGCTAAAAAGAGACAGAAAAACCACATTTGTAGAGCACATCCAATCAGCGAAATATTTCTTTTCTTTACAGCCATGTCTAGTAGGATTTTGGGTGTGACAACAGAAGAGTAACAGAGATCTACAAAAGACAAATTGCTTAGGAAGAAGTACATGGGGGTGTGAAGTTGTGAGCTCATCCTGATTAATAGGATCATCCCAGCATTTCCAGTCACTGTGATAATATATACTGTTAGGAAAAAACCAAAGAGTGGGATCTGTAGGTTTGGCAAGTCACTAAATCCCAGCAAAACGAACTCATGCACTATGGTATAATTCTCCATGGCTTCCTATATTTTGTAGGAAAAAGAAGGAAATATTTATGTTATCAGTATAACTTCCATATCCCTGGATATTGCAAACTAGTAATAAAGGTAATTTTGTAGATTTTCTCAATTAGGGAAAAACAAATAATAGCCTCTAGATTCCTGGGCTTTAGGGATGTTGCCTGAATATTTTAGAAAAAGCTCAAGAAAATGGCACCCATTTTTCTGGACACATGATTTAAAACAGTAGTTTTCAGACTTTATATTTTAAGTTCTATTAAGCACACTAGTGTCTCACCAAGAGAGGAAACAAAAACTGAATCAAACAAAAATCTAAGGCTATATATAGATTTCCATTTCCATAGATTTGAAGGATATAAAATTGCAATAATTGATAGACAATATTGTTATAATACCCTATTGAGATCTAATTAGGATGAAGCCATGTTGACCTAAGCCTCAATCAAGAGATACATGCAAATAATGAAAGTTAACTAGGATTGAAGCAGTTGCTTTTCTGTTGAGCATTCTCTAACTAAACCCGAACAAGAAATATATCCCAAAAAATGAGAGCAAATTGGGACTGAAATGTTTGCCACAGGGTAGTAGTGTTCCCCCAAGCCCCTCCCCCATAATAAAACTCATATTATACCTAATCCAAAATTTCAGAAGCTGCTCCCATCACTGGCTATAGAAAATCCTCTGGTGAGATGCCATATTCCTTTGACTCTCAGCACATATAAATGCAAATATATACATTTATTCTAAAGATCACCAGTAGCGATCTTTTTCATAGCCCTAGAAAGAAGGCAATGACAAATGATTTCCATTGCCAAGAAAACTGCATGGACTGTCCTTGTAATGGCCAAGAATCGTGAGTGACATGAAGAACTGTAACAGCAGCATATATGGGTATTCTTGCTACTACAACATGCCCTAGATTTATTTCAGGTACAAACGACATATGATGTTAAATGAATCACTGGAAATTCTGGGATTTTTTACAGTGTTTGAGAAGGCTAAGCCAAATCTTTAAGGAACAGTGTTTAATTCTTTCTTCATCCATAGTTTCCTGAAAACAGCTATTAATAAAAATATTCTTAAAGGTGCTTACTGATTTTTGTGGTTAGTTGCAAAGTCGTGTCCAACCTATCGCAACCCCAAGGACAACATTCCTCCAGACCTCCCTGTCCCCTACCATCATCTGGAGTCCATTTAAGCTCACGCCTACTGCTTCAGTGACTCCATCCAGCCACCTCATTCTCTGTTGTCCCATTCTTCTTTTGCCCTCAATCTTTCCCAGCATTAGAATGGTGCTTATTGTAGTTTACTACAATAAGTTGTAGTTCATTACAATAAGTTCACTACGATAATTAGAGGACTCATTGGAAAAGACCCTGATGTTGGAAAAATTGAAGGTAAAAGGAGAAGAGGAGAGCAGCAGATGAGATGGTTAGATAGTATGTTTGACACAATGAATATAAATTTGAGTAAACTGCGGGAGACAATGGAGGACAGGGAGGGTCTGGTATATAATGAAGAATTAGACACAACCTAGCAACTGAACAACAACTAGAATAATTGCAACACCAAGGAAGATGTTTGTAAAAAGCAAAAGAGAAAGGTTAAGAATTTCACGTTCACAATATGGAGCACTAAGTACAGTTCAGATGTACCTAGCTCATAAATAGCTGGAAGCATCTAGCGAGTGCTTTATTTGCAATATTGAAAGTAGGTGATGCATCCAAAATGAACATCTGGGGTTGCTAGCAACACCATTTTATTTTTCAGACTCTAAACTAGAATTTAAATGGGAGGAAAAAAATAGAAATGCATCAAGAGAAATGGTAAATTATGTTGCTGCAATCCTACTCACCTCTGGGATAAAAACAGTACACTTTTTTAAAACTTGGTTTTGAACTGAGATAGAAAGGAAGATAGAAAACCAAGAAGTTTTACCCTTCTTTTCCAATTCATCTCATCTAATGGCAGAGGGCAGTGATGGGATTATTAAGGTAGAATCTTGGGATAGATAAATGCTGTTTTTAACCTACCCGTTCTCTTGGGCTCTGCTACTTCTTTTTCCTCTTCCAGTTACTTTGAAATTCCTGTTTCATATTGCTGAGGAGGACACATTTGCTTATTTATTGTCAAAGAAGCCATTTCTGATTATATAAATGCAGGAAATTCCTGAAAGAGGCCATCGTGACTCTTGAACTCTTTCTCTGCAATGGCTATATTGAAAGAGACTTTATATACTGAGCGACTGGACCTAGGGATTTTGACCTCCCAATGGAATGTATCTCTAATGGCAATTACAATTACCTTAATAGCTTTAATGGTAGAAATTATTTCCACTGCAGTGTCATTTGAAGATTCATCTTCTACAGAAGAATATTGTGTAAGATGTTGGTGATGATGGCATATTGACACATCAGAATTCTTCAGGATGAAGATCCTGTTAGTTTAAAAAATCCTAGATTCCCTGATCAAGAGGAAAAGGTCCACCTAGAGAATAAGCAAATATTCTCCTCCAAGGCTTAGAAAAATTGCTATTGATGCTCTGGGTATGTTTAAGTACACTTCACCCTGCCCCCAGGTCTACCAAAGAGTTCATCAAGTTCTTGTGGAATTCTAGGGTTTCACAGAACACAATTTGGAAAACCCTAACCTTGTTAATTAATCCAGGTATTTAAGTTCTGTTTTCCTATAACATCTCAGAGGTTATAATGGGTGGGGTAATATAATGCACTGAAGTGATTTCCCCTCTAGTGATTTATAACACCCTCTCATAACAAGTAATCATTATTAAAATGATGTAAATTATTTCTGAATTACTATTATTTTGGCACCAATCAACAATGCTTTATGTTAGTAGTGCATATATAACCTAAGTCAAACAAGCAGTAAGTCACACTAAGAAAAAAAGAAACGTACGTCTTGACATGCTTTATAAATCAGTTTTAACCTCCATGGGTTTTGAAGTCAGGCTCCATAAATCATACAGCAGCCATGGGTAGGGAGCTCTTTGCAGTGGTGAAACTTTTTTTTTTTACTACTGGTTCTGTGGGCGTGGCTTGGTGGGTGTGGTGTGGCTTGGTGGGTGTGGTGTGGCTTGGTGGGCGTGGCTTGGTGGGCATGGCAAGGGAAGGATACTGCAAAATCTCCATTTCACCCCACTCTGGGGCCAGCCAGAGGTGGCATTTGTCGGTTCTCCAAACTACTCAAAATTTCTGCTACTGGTTCTCCAAACTACTTAAAATTTCCACTACCAGCTCCCCAGAACCTGTCAGAACCTGCTGGATTTCACCCATGGTCCTTTGCATAGCCTTAGGTTGTATGTCAGTGTCTCCTGTTCCTGGACTGGGGGACCTTGATCTCAGTCACTCATGTCCCTGTGACTGCCAGGATAGGCTATTGCATGGGGTATTGCTCTACGTGGGGCTGCCCTTGAAGACTATTTGGAAGTTTCAACTGATACAGAATGCGGCACACGGGCAGTTTCTGGTGCTAGTTATTTGGCACATGTGACACCCATGCTCTGCAAGCTTCATTGGCTTCCATTTGTTTCATAGTGAAATTCAAGATTTAAAGTTTTCATGGCTTACTTATAGGATTGTCTCTCTCCAATTGTTTCTACATCCTATGTCAGTTTGGCCTAATAGTTAAAGCACCAAGCTGGAAACCAGTACACCATGTATCTGACTCCTGTTTTAGGCATGAAAATCTGGCTGGCTGCCTTTGGACCAGTCATTCTTCTCTTAGCCCAACTGTTTGTGTATTATCTCCCCTCCCTTGTTTTATTGTAAGCCGCCCGGAGTCCTTCAGGAGTGGGCGGCATACAAATCAATAAAACTATAACTATAACTATAACTCACTTCACAAAGGTTTTGTTGTGGGGAAAATAGGAGGAAGAAGGAGTAGTAAGTACATGGACTGCCTTGAAGTTTTTTTTTTAAAAAAATAATATTTTTATTATTAAAAAATAGCGTACCAAGCCATAGGTTTCTTTTTCTAATAATTTTGTAAATTTATTTTTTAATAATGGGATTAAAACAAATCAGGGAGGGTAGCAAAAAGACTCTGAGTTAATTACATGGAGGTAATTTCTGTGCCAGCAGGCATTGCTATCATATAGCAAAGAAGGAGATGGTAGTTTTGTCAGTGGGTCAAGTGGATGTTGCTGTGATACAGAAACAGCACAGCAGAAGAGGAAGATTTTGTTACCTGGTCTCTTTCAAGCTCTACTCAGTCAACACTCAGCTGTTGCTGTAATTCATGATTCAGAGTCTGACTTTGACCTGGAATCTGACAATGTTGCTCCAGCTGAGCCTGTACTTCAGGATGGTCAGCTGCAGAATTTATGATTCAGAGTCTGACTCTGTCCTGGACTATGGGAATGTTGCTCCAGCTGAGCCTGTGCTTCAGGATGGTGAGCCTCAGGAATCAAGAAGGCAGGATTCAAGTGAGGATGATCAACCATGGTATGGATGATCAACCATGGATGATCAACCAGTCAGGTGATGAGGCCCAATCCCTAAGACCCAGGTCTAGGCAAATTGAGATGTGAGCAGAGCAACATTCCTCAATGAGGCTTCTCTCTAAACATAGGGCAAGACATAGGTAACTGCAGCCAACTGGCTACGAAGCTTTAAATAGCCTCTTTGCTTGCAGTTTTTGTTGGAGATAACTTTCTTATTTCCTAGCTTTTGCATCTTATTTATGACCTTTGACCATTGGACCAACTGACTACCCGATTTGGCATTCTGTTATTCTTGGGCAGGGTGAAATCTAATCCCCTCCCAGATCTGTGGGCATGGCCAACTTTTTTTTCACTTTCAGCTATTTTATTTAGCTTTTTAAAACATTTTTTCCCTGCCGGTTTGCCCGAACCAGTTGAGCTGAGTGATCCTCAAAAGCTTTTTTTTTTTTTTTTTTACTACCAGTTCGCAGAACCAAGGAGACTCATCCCTGCTGGTTCAGCCAAACTGGGCTGAACCAGGAGGATTTTGCCCCTGATCTTGTGTGATATTTGGGCGATGCTATTGTTTCTTAGACTGTATTCTGCTGTCTTCAGGCAAGCTCTTTCACTAGGCATTTGACTCACATTTGGTGTCTGAGCATTTTGCAACATGGGGATTATAGCAGTGATGGATGCTTACCAAGGCAACTGAGCTGACACATAAGATAGGGGAGATGAGGAACATTAGATAATCAGTTTAGTGATTTTGTTTTTTAATGGAGGCAGAGTAGTATACCTTTTGGTCTCTTTTTCATCTGAATAATAATGCTTTCCCTTTATGCCATGTAGGCAATCTGCAGGACACCTTCAGTCAATGGTGTTTCATTTGTGACATTCTAGCATGCTGAGATCACCTCACTGAGATTTGGCGGGAAAATGATTGATTTTCAGTGGTATGATTTTTGGTAGGCAAATCTACTTCCCATACACTCAATCTCTCCCTGTAATGACCTAAAATCATGCCAACAAACTGCTTTGGTGTGCAATTTGGTACCTTTAAAAATGATTAAAAACCTGGGGGCCCATAATCTGGCCTGACATCATCAGTCATTTTATATTGTCAATCTGTGTGGTTTTCTGGATAAAATACAGGAGTGGTTTTACCATTACTTCCTCCTCTGCAGCATGAAATCATGCATTTGCTGTTGTTGCTAAAGGGATCATTTGTCTCCAGAATCTTCTTGCATCCCTATTGCCTGATCCAGGTGCCCACGTGCTTGGGCTTGGCAGCTGGGATGACCGTCACATCCTGGGTGACTCTTCTGGGAGGAAACAGTCCTCGATGTATGACCACAACTGAGCCCCAAATTTCTGCTAAGTGAGAAATTTGTGAAGTGAGCTTTGCCCCATTTTACAACCTTTCTTGCCACAGTTGTTAAGTGAATCTGGCTTCCCCATTGACTTTGCTTGTCAGACGGTCGCAAAAGGTGATCACATGACCTTGGGTCATAGCAACGGTCACAACTTTGACCCAGTTGCCAAGCATCTGAAATTTTATCACATGATCATGGGGATGCTGCAAAGGTCATAAGTGTGAAAAACAGTCGTAGGTCACATTCCTGTTGTAGCTTTGAATGGACAAAATGAGCTGTTGTTATTCGAGGACTATGTATGTGGCTGTCATAAATTCCTGGAGTTGCCTGCTCTTCCCTCCTAGGAACACCCCCCCCCCCGCTTTCACACACACAATGAAGCAGCATATCAGTAACCTAGGGGGAAACATTCTCATATATAACTCTAAAACATTTCTTCCAATATTTTCTTCCTTCAGTTTCATTCAAAATAATTTCATAATTTTAAATTTGAATTCCTAGAGGCTTCTTGTTTCTCCCCCACTACCCACTATCCCATTCCCCCTCTCCCCCCTCTCTCCATCCAAATCAGTGCACTTTTGCCTTTCTTCATCATAACTATTCCTTGTTTTATTTCAGTTCACGTTTTTCTCTTTATATACATTGTATCAGTGTATTTTTCATTACTTTTTCTTAGCCACAGTTTCTTTCACTTTCTCATTCTACACAGAGTCTTTTTCATATCTTCCAGAAGCATAATTCCACACAATCTTTCATTAAGCATGTATTTAAAAGTTAATATTCCTCCCTTCTCTCCTTTATTATTTCAAAATAGTAAGTTATTTCTTGGTTATACAACACAATCCTTTATGTCTACTTGGAAGAAAGTCACACTGTTCGGTGCCCAGTGCAATTTGTAATTCTCAGTATGAGGAAGTGTTATGCCTGAGCAGAAACCCATTTCTTTCTCACGATCCTTTTCAGCGCTTCCTTCACCTCCTTATTCCTTAGGCTATAGATGACAGGGTTGACCATAGGAATCACTACTGTATAAAAGACAGCAGCAACTTGGTCTTGTGCTCCAATGTCACTTGAGGAAGGTTTCAGGTAGATGAAAAGAATTGTGGTGTAGAACAAGGTAACAGCCATCAAATGGGAGCCGCAGGTAGAGAAGGTCTTCTTCCTTCCCCCGCTTGAGTGGATTCTTTGGATAGCAGTGATAATGTAGATGTAAGAGATAAGGATGATGAAGAATGAACACAGTCCTATCAGTGAAGAGATGACAAAAAGCAGAATCTGGTTGAGCTGAGTGTTTGAACAGGCAAGCTTCAGAATTAAAGGTACATCACAAAAAAAATGGTTTATGACATTGGAGCTGCAAAAGGGGAGGCGAAAGGTAGTGTTTGTGTGTACCATGCCATTGGCACAACCCACAAGGTAGGAAGCCAGCACCAGGCAAATACAAACCTTCTTGGACATGACAGTAGGATACAACAGTGGGTTACAGATGGCCACATAGCGGTCGTAGGCCATAGCAGCTAGCAGGAGACATTCGACACTTGCAAACACAGCGTAGAAGTAAAACTGAGCAGCACAACCAATGAAAGAAATGGATTTCTTTTCAGCCAAGAAATTCACCAGGGTTTGAGGGACAATGACAGTAGAGTAACAGAGATCTGAGAAGGACAGGTTGCTAAGGAAAAAGTACATAGGTGTTTGGAGATGGGAGTCAAGACGAATCAGTGTAATCATCCCTAGATTTCCAAGAAGAGTGATCACATAGATAGCTAGAAACACCACAAAAAGGGAGGTGCTGAGCACTGGATTATCTGTGAATCCTACAAGGATGAATTCTGACACTGTGGTTTGATTCCATTGGGCCATGGCATTAGTTCAGTAAGCCTGTAAGATAAAGAAGATTGTCAGGTTCAAGCCCAGAGGACAGAGCCAAATCCAACCCAATCCTTTACTTCAGTGGTTCCCAAACTTGGCAACTTTAAGACTTATGGACTTCAACTCCCAGAATTCTGGGAGTTGAAGTCCACAAGTCTTAAAGTTGCCAAGTTTGGGAACCACTGTTTTACTTGCTAACCCCTAATGNGTGATTCTCCTGTCTCCTGATCTGGGAGCAGCAAATCATGCCTTGGCAAATCATGCCTAAGTAAGTTGCTTTTTTATTAATTTTTTTACATTTTCATCATGGCAGGCGGACAAGAGGAGAGTTGAAATCCACAGCTGGAAAAGGTATGTGGATCAGATGGAGGGAAGGGGGCAAGGCGGCAGAGCACGGCAGCGGCAGGGACGTTCTTGCCACTGTGTCCAACAGGCCAGGCATCTCGTGTTTATGTCCGCCATAAATGCGAGACGCCTGGACTGTTGGACATAGTGGTGGCGAGGGGAGGAATAGGCTGGCTGGGCTGGCTGGCTGGGGAGGGGGGAATCATGGCCGCTCAGGCCCTGGGGGCAGGGCTTTAAAGTGGCGGCAGGGCCCCGGCGGCAGGACTTGAAAGTCCTGGCGCCGTCTGCCATCTATGGTGGATGGCGCCGGGACTTTAAAGCCCTGCCACCGGGGCCCTGCTGCCACTTTAAAACCCTGCTGCCTGGGACAAGGCAAAGAAGATTTCCTCGGTTGGGCCCAAGAGGGACGTCGGGAAGAGCTACATGTGGGGGGTAGCCTCAGGAGCGCTTGCACTCAGGGCAGGAGCCCCTTCTAGCCCGCCCCGAAACTCCTGGAGTGAAGCAGAAGCCAGCCCACCTGGTTGAGTTCCCAGGGAGCCGCCTCGGACACCACGACTCACCCTGCAGCTGTCCGGCAAGAGGACCAGGCGAGCGATGGGCCCCGTGTCCAGCACAAAGCATTGCAGCACTTCCCCGGTGAAGAGGTCCCACCAGATGACGCAGGAGTCTCAGCTTCCGGAGAGCAGCCAGCAAGGTGCCAGCCAGCCAGATGGCACCAGCAGGGCTGTCATGGTGCTGCCGCTGGCACAGCCCAGCACGCGTGCTGTCGCAGTGTCTGCGAGAAAGAGTCAGGCAGGTAGCGGCCAGTACTGCCAGGATCACCCCCCGCCCTGTGTTTCTGCAGCCCAGGAGCCCCACCCGAGGCAGCTCCCTGGGAACTCAACCATGTGGGCCGGCTTCTGCTTTGCTCCAGGAGTTTTGGGACGGGCTAGAGGGGGCTCCTGCCCTGAGCGCAAGTGCCCCCGAGGCCGGCCGCCATATGTAGCTCTTCCCGACATCCCTCTTGGGCCTCACCGAGGAAGTCTTCCTNAACTTGGCAACTTTAAGACTTATGGACTTCAACTCCCAGAATTCTGGGAGTTGAAGTCCACAAGTCTTAAAGTTGCCAAGTTTGGGAACCACTGTTTTACTTGCTAACCCCTAATGGACAGAAGGTTGCTAAACTAGCTATAACCTTCTAACCGAGTAGAGATATCCTGAAGGATTCTAGGATGAAGCTACCCCGAACTTCTTTCTCCCTCCTCCTAGGACTGCATACACTCTTAATTTGGGCTTCTCTCTGAAGGGAAGTATTCCCTCCTCCTTTGAAAAGCTTTGTGATGCCAAAGCTCCACTATTTCTCCAGGTGCACATTCTACACAAAGATGGATTGACTCATACTCCTGTAAATCTAAAAATGTGAAGAACAGCTTAAAATATATAGCTGTTATTATTATTCATTCTCTTTTAAGCTTCTTTTTGTTGCAATTTATTAGATATGTTAAAACAACCCAGGGACACATATAATAATTAAAGATGTAAATGTGATGCTGAATTATACTCCAGATACATGGAATCTAACATTTTATGGAGAATTCAGCAAAGAAAATTGTCCTACAGAGATTTAAAAAAAAGTATGCTCCTGGTATTGAACTGTGGAATTGATAGATGGGTTCTTTTATGAGTTTTGAACATGTTGTTATATTGTACAAATAAGAAGATGGAACACCATGTTTCCATATGATCTAGATTTAAATATGTTAATGAATTTAGTTACTGCAATATTAATATTATATGCCTCATTTTTCCCCTTCAGTTTTAGTTCATGTTAATCACTATTTTGTATATATTTTTTCTGATTGTGTTACCACTGTTGCATTATTATTAGGATATACATATTACAAAATAAATAACTATCCTCCCTCCCCCAATATGAAATAAATCTTTGCAGGTCTGTCTACATCGTAGTATACATCAAGATCAAAAACCATATGTGGGAAAATCAAAGGACTCACATCCACTATAATACTGGCATAAGCACACAGAGGAAATAAATAGACCCTAAACAAACTTGAACCAATTTGATTTTGTGAAATTGTAGAACACAGCTGCCACCTGTGACTTTTTAACATTTGAAATATTTGAAAATGCACTTGAAATGAAGAACCTAGTTAGAAACATATTATCAAGGGAAGCCTTAATGTGTTTATATTATGCTTAATGAACTCCTATTAGAAGCTTTTAACATTCTATTTTTAAAATCAATACTAGTGAATAGGGTAGAAGATAATGCATTCTGTTTGCTTAAAACTAAGTCTACCCTATTCAAACATGTATCACTATAGTCCATCTACTTGCTGCCTAAAAGAAAAAGATACTAAAGTGCATTTCTCTTCAATTGATGTGTGCTGTCACATCCAGGTCCAAATATACCACACAAAATCTTGAGTTTGCAGTGTGGAGAAAAGAAGATGAAGGGAAACACAATTGATATGCTCATGTACATTCAAGAAAATGCAGAGTAAATGGGCAGGAACTGCTTCTCATGCAGAAACTAAGAGTCCAAGTAACAGGTGGAAATTGTAGTTATCTGGAACAGTCAAACCATGAAGGTTGTGGATTATCCATTTCTGGAGGTTTTTTAGAGAGGTTGGACAGCTACTTCTCAATGGCTGAATTGGTATTCCTGCACATTGCAGAAGGTTGGATTAGATGATCTGTACGGCTCCTTCCAACCTTGCAGTTCTGTTACTCTATGAAAATTGCCCATGCTTAACCTCATCTGAAGATATAGATGGGCAAACCATTTCTTGTAGGCAGTGGATGGATTCCACCCCTAGCTTTTGCAACCCCCTATGGTCATTCCTGATGTTTTGTGATGGCACATATCCCCCCGCTCACAGGCATAGCATAGGTATAGCATAGCACTTAGCACTTAGACTTGTATACCACTTCATAGTGCGTTTATAGTCCTAAGTGGTTTATAGAGTCAGCATATTGTCCCCAACAATCTGAGTCCTCATTTTACCCACCTCAGAAGGATGGAAGGCTGAGTCAATTTTGAGCCGGTGATATTTGAACTCACAAATGCAGCTAACAGTCAGCTGAAGTAGCCTGCAGTTGTACTACATTCTAACCACTGTGCCACCTCGGCTCAGTATGTTAAATCTTGCAGCTTAATCTTTCCCAGTCAATGACAAAGGAGAGGGGGGAATCCATTTTAAAAGGAATGTGCAGCTCTTGACTGGAGAACTATTTCCTGCTATTAAGGAATCAGCCACAGCTGCCACAGCCAAAGCACAATAGCTTGTTGCTCTCTAAGAAAGCTCATTGATATTTACCTTCCTCTGCGGAAGATGTTGTGGGGTGTCATCTGAGATGGCTGCAACTTATTCGTGGCAACAGAAACCATTAATAAGCATTCTTATGACTGATTGTAATATCTCCATGTAATCTTTGTTTTGATTGTATCTGTGGAGAGAGATATTTGCCTCAGTTCTGAATGAGTGATGTACCAAGCCACATGAATTTTAACTGAGTATGAAATATGTTCAGAAGGATTTTAGCTCCTGTCCTGTGCTTATCTCATTATAAATCAATGGAACTACTTTGGAACATGTTCCAAAGGGGTTGCCATGCTAATCCATTCTAGAAAAAACAACAGATAAGAGTCTTTAAAGCAAGTAAGCGCTGAAGTGCAATGTGGGTTCTGACAAAATGTTACTCAGTGTTGAGTAATTTCTACAGGTTTCTGTTCATTTTTTAAGCATTGCATTTTTTTAAAATCTGAGAGATCTCATAGGATTAATTCTCCTGAAGCCTCTGAAAAGTCTGGTGACATGACAACAATTTAGCATGGGATAACAGGAACTAAATATTCAGACTTCTGTGTAACATAATTATTCCATAGGTTTAAGGAATTGCAAAGTTTGTGACATTGCTCAAATTATATTTCTAAAGTAATATTTTGCAAAGACTTACTTATTCTGACATTCACAGAAAATCGAGACTTGTAAGGAATCAAACCCCCATCTACACTTGTTTAAAACTAATGTTGAGATCAATTTCCTTTTAAATGGGCATGTTATAATTGTTATTGAAAATATCAAAGACCAAGGCTTTGAACTTTACTCTTTGTCTCCTCATCTCACATTCCTTCAGGCCACCCCTGATTCATTTCAAGTAAAGAACTAAGACTGGAATTTGGAATAGATAGTTCTGGGATTGTGAAGGAATTTTTCTCCAGTAACGCCATGAACCCACAGTTGGCTCAAAATATTTTGCTTCTTGAGACAAAGAAGAAAACAACATCTCCTCTCCCATTCATTCTACAAGACTGAACTGTGTGGGCAATAGAATGTTTAACATTGACATGAGGGCAATATCTCCATCACTCTTGCAGGCACTATACTAATTTAGAATCCATGGTCAGATTTCAGTATATAATATTCTCTCTCTCAATATCTTGCTAATGCTTTCCTGGAGGAACTACAGCACTTTGTCCAAAAATAGGACTAGTTTTGTATTAATTTAGCAAAAAAACTCTTACAAGGTAAATATTTTGAAAAGGCAGCCCCTCTAACGATAAAGAAGACATCAATTATTTAGTGAGAGAATTTAAAACCACTTTCTGAAGCTCTACCTCTTTACAAAGAACATGTTTTTGC